CACACCAAATTGTGTAGTAATAGAAAGTGTAACTGCTAAGGATCATGTGAGGATATATTTTTCTAGATCACTCTGAACACTTCTTTGCCTCTGCTGGATCCTTTTCCTCCTTGAGCTATGAATCAGTAAGCTGCTTTTGTTCATTTGTATTCTTTTCTTGGAGACCTCGTCCTGCATTTTCAATGACTTACTCAGCATTTTTATACATACATTATCTCAAACTCAATTTGCCTAAAACTCACCTCAGCAAAGTATGCCTACAAATCAATAGACAAAAAAAAAAATCAAAAGGACATAAACAAGCAATTCACCAATGGCCAATAAACATATGAAAAGATGTTCAATGTCACTAGGTATTTTTAAGTAACACTGAGAAATCATGTATTGCCTGTCACCTTAATAAACGTGTCCAAGACCAAGGGTTCCATTGTCATAATTCAGAGACCTAAAGCTCTTTTAAAAAATGTGATCCCAAGACCATACTTTCAAGGATCATTTCCACAGTTTTTTTACTGAAAATGTGATCCCCAAATCTTCAAACTTGTTACCAGCTTCCTTTGGCCACTGGGGACGCTTCACCCCAGGTGAATGATCTCAGTTAACTTCACAAAAAGAACAAATGGAGCTCTTCTGACATTTAGAAAACCTAAGAAAACACTATGGGCCCAACAAAATCAACCGATTTCTTCTAAGTGTTCATTCATTCACTAACTCTTGGGAGCAGCAGGGGATATAAGATGAAAAGACACAGTCCTACAAACCAATCCTCTATTTTCACTTGCTACTATGATGCCTTTGATGCTTCCAAGTGTCTTATATCCCTAATTAGCACCTAAGCTTTGTGGAGGACATGGAGCCAGGAACCATATTTTATTTCTTTGACTTCTCCTATAGTGATTTTTACACAGAAAATGTGAGATAGCCCTGGCTAGTGTGGCTCAGTGGATTGAGCACTGGCCTATAAACCAAAAGGTCACTGGTTCGATTCCCAATCAGAGCGCATGCCTGGGTTGTGGGCCAAGTCCCCAGTTTGCAGTGTATGAGAGGAAACCAATTGATGTTTCTCTCACATATCATTTTTCTCTCCCTCTCTTCCTCCTCCCTTAAAGAAAGAAGAAAGAAAGATGGATGTGAGATAAATATTTATTTCTTCATTACCTTCCACCCTGTATGAAAATGTTAACAACAAATGTAATTCGGAAAAGCATATACCACAGGCATTGAATGCCTAAGGGCCGCGGGCCCTGACTGGCGGGGTCTGTCACACTGTGGATGAGGCACGAGAAACTCACACAGACTGCCGAGTCCTGTGGAGGAAAAGGGACGGCATGGCTCCTCTCTCAAGTGGAGAGTGACCCGACCCTTGCCTTAACAAGCTTTTATTGGGTTCAATTAGCACAGGAATGCTGGTAAAGTTTGTTAATCATTGTCAGGCAGTAATGATCAAACAATAGGTAACATTCAAAGAACTCTGAGGGCCTATTCTGGTTCAGGGTCTATTAGCTAAAGTGTTACAAAACTTTGGGAAACAAACTCATTTCTTGCTGGGATCCTTATCATTTCATTAAGAGCATTCTTAGCAAAGCAGGTTTCACAGGCCTATATATTTCTTAGGCCTGATAGATCACCTGGGAAACCCACCCTTTCCAGCACAGGGCTGCACCACCCTCTGCCATTGTTTCAGGCTTAAGTCAGGCAGGGGAAGTAAGGGAGCCAAGAGATTAGGAGACTTCTCACAGACAGAATGAGGACTCAGGCCATGTCAAAGCCCAGGGGCGAGGGACCATCACCCCCTCTTGCTACAGCCCCCCAAGTTCTTCCCTGGGGGCTCCCTGTTATCGTACCTATCTTAGGTCATTCCCCCCTCGGGGAATCTTACCCATCATTGGGCTAACTGATCAAGCATTGGGGGCCAGGCAGGGTGAAGTAAAAGGAGCAGAGGCGGTGCTCCTGCCAGGGAGATAAGCTTTGTCTCCTTAGTGGCTTATGGTCTGAAGGTCACTCACTCAGCCTTAGCCTTGGGGGGGTTACAGCTTCTGAAACCAGGCAGGGCGGTTACCAACACCTAAGCCCTAGAGTTGAGCAGATTTATGTAAATGTTTTAGGTTTATAACATAAATCTTTCTCAAGATTGCCTTAGTCAGGGTATTTTGTAGTTTCATAAAAATTAAAATTTTAGGATTTTATTTTATTTCTGTGGGAAAAAATGCCATCAGAATCTCTTGTTTTCTATTAAATCTGATATCCACAGTGTTGACTGTTACTTTGATTCACTCCCTTTGGTTTCTGAACAATGTTACATTTTATACGGCCCAGCTCATTTATGCCCTTTCCTTTTGATAGGCACTTAGGCTGTGTTCAGTTTTACTGGCTTAACCCAAATATCCCAATAGAAAATAGTCAAAATGTATGAACAGACATTTCAAAGGAGAGAAAATATATATGGCTAATAAGAATATGATGAGACATTTAACAACAGAGATAAGGAAAGTAAATGATAATAAAATATCATTTTATGAAATTTTTATTGATAAGCATCAACAAGTCTGACAATATTGGGGGTCAGAGGATACGGATTCACCTCATCACTTACCCACTGTTGTGGGAGTTTGAGTTGGTGTAATTTCAGAAAACTGTTTTCCATTATCTTTTTTTTTTTTACTTTTTCACTGAACTTATTGGGATGACATTAGTTAATAAAATTATGTAGGTTTCAGGTGTACAGTTCTATAATACATCATCTGTCTATTGTATTGTGTGTTCACTACCCCAAGTCAAGTCTCCTCCTGTCACCATTCATCCCCCCTTTCCCCCTTTTACTACCCCCAGGGCCCTTTCCCTCTGGTAATCATCACACTGTTGTCTGTGTCCGTGAGTTTTTTTGTTTTCCTTAACCCCTTCACCTTTTTCACCCAGCCCCACAACACACCCTGAAAGCTGTCAGTCTGTTCTCCATGAGTCTGTTAGTTTAGTTTTGTTAGTTTAGTTTGTTCATTAGATTCTACACATGAGTGAAGTCATATGATACATATTTTCTCTGACTGGCTTATTTCACTTAGCGTAATGCTCTCCAGCTCCATCTGTGCTATCACAAAGGGTAACATTTCCTTTTTATGGCCAAGTAGTATTCCACTGTATAAATGTTCCATGCCTTTTTTACCCACTCATCCACTGATGGACAGTTGGGCTGCTTCTAAATCTTGGCTATTATAAATAATGCTGCAATGAATGTAGGGGTATATACATTCTTTCAAATTAGAATGCAGTAAATACTAAATCTTTCCTTACATTTTTGCATATCTGAAAGCTGAAAGAATTCTCCACAGACCAGCTTCTGGCTTTACACATTTCAAACTTTTTTCTCCTGAACTCCTTACATTTCCCTCCAGTGGGGCATATTGTGATAAGATTTCTGCTTCTGCATCTTTTCATTACAGCCCAGAGTTGGCACAGTGAGCATTGGGACTATTCCTGAAGTTGTACCTACATCAGAAAGGCTAAAAATAACTACCTGAAGTAACTATGGTCTACAAAAATATATCCTACTCAACCCTAACAAAATGTATCAATTTGTCCTTAGTCAGTTCCCCAAAATATCCATGTCTGCTCCAACACCACCTAATAGTAAAAGAGGGGCAACAGAGGCAAAAACCAAAGTAGAATGAGACAACAAACAATTGACTGTGGTTAAAATACTTACTTTTATAAATTTTATAAAACCAAATGGCCATGTGAACACATTGCTAGAACCAAGCATTGAAAGAAGCTTGTTAAACTTAGAGATCCTCAATTTTAAGCTTAGTTAACCTTACTTTATCTACCTCTCCCTCTCCTCTCCCCTCCCCCTCTCCCCTCCCCCCTCTCCCTTCTTCTTACCACCAGGTCTCTTTCCTGACTTCTGAGTTTCTGCTTTAACTTTCCACTCTCAAGTCTCAGAATACTGCCTTTCTCTGCTTATATCTACACATGGCCCAAAGCCGCACCTGAGCTCCTTGTACATATTCCCCATGGAGCTGTCACGTGCCCATGGGAAATGGGCATGGAGAATGGGGAATGGTTGCCCATTCAAAAACCTCAAAATATTGGCTATTTAAAATAGAAGAATATCTGAGAACATCTAGATTTAAAGGAACAAAACAAAGTGCACCGAGGTGTGTCTCACTCAAAGTCTTATTCTTTGTTAAAAAAAAAAAAAAATGGAGGCTTATCTGCCACTGCTCTTTGTTATACTATATTGTTTGTCTTCATCATGAGAAAGCATAATGCTTCAATAGTGTGAATTACTTTACATAAAAAATGTCTCTGTATATTCCTATGTAGACCTAGGTATAAAATTAAGGGAGCTGTAGAAAGTTTTCAGAATGTAAATTTTCAAGTAATACTGCCCATTACCACACATTAAAAAGAATAATAAATTATTAGAGTTAGGAAAAGCGTAACATCAATTTTGTGATGGAGTTTCGTGTTTCCTTAGAACACTTGGGGGAAGCCTAATTGATCGCTGGAGCTCACACCTGACCTTAGTTTAAAATCCTGATGAGTCAAAATACTAGTCTAAGTAGTCAAGCAAACCGCATCAAGGAAACATTCACAGGACTGTATGCTCTTGCTCTATGAATCCCAAACAAACAGATCTTGGGTTCTATGTAGTAAGCTTTTAATTTGCAGTATGTGATTTTTAGTGACTGCCTACGACATTCCAATCTGATAGTGAAGAAAACACCAACCCTGTTCCTACGGAGATGACACTAATGGGACACGCTTTGATGTATTCAACCGACCCATTAGCCAAAAAAAAGATACTCTCGCCACGTAACCTAACTGTGGAAAATCTGTGGACAGTAGAAAAGGGACGCCCCACCCTGGGACAGCCGAGTCCGGGCGCGCACCCAGGCGACCAGGGCGCCCGGCGTTGCGTGGCTCCGAGCGGCGCGCGGTTGTGACGACGGGCCCCGCCCCCTGCTCCCGTCTCAGCGCCCCCGCCCGGTCCAGCGCAGTGCGCAAGCTCCTCCGCCCGGCTCCGGTTCTGCCGGGGATGTAGCCGGCGCCGCGACGCTGTCTCTCGGCGAGCTCCTGAGCAGTCCTCCAGGCCTTGTTCTCCCGCAGTGGCCGCGCCTCTGCCGCCCACGCGCTCGGGAGCAGAGCGCTGCAGCCAGAGTCCCAGCCGTGGTGGTCGCTAAACAGAAGCTTTAGCGCGTCCGGGGGGGTGCAACCCCTCGCCCAGCCCGGCGAGCCCCGGGTGTGAACCGAGCCGACGGAGGATGGCAGCCTCCGGAGTGGAGAAAAGCTGCAAGAAGAAGACCGAGAAGAAACTTGCTGCTCGAGAAGAAGCTAAATTGTTGGCAGGCTTCATGGGTGTCATGAACAACATGCGGAAACAGGTATCTCCAGGGTGGGTGTGACCGCCTGCAGGGGGGAAAGTGGTCCGGGATTCGGGCCCCTTGTTCCCTGGGCTGAAATTCGCGCCCTGTGAATTGAGACCCTCTTTTCCCTCTTTCTTCCCGTTTTTACACGCTAGCAAAGCTGCTGTTAGTAGAGGGTCGCTTTAAACTGTTTGTCGAGCAAAAGTGCTTTCTCGATCTGCTGGTGCTGTGACTCCCAAGTCAGACTCGTGGGAGACTCCTCGGGCTGGCATTCGGCGTCGGGTATCGCTTGTATAACAGCTCTGCCCTAGTTATCTTTGTGAGGCGAGGATCCCTCCATTGGAGAGCCGTGTAAGGTGTCGGGAGATGTGTGCGAGGAAGCCCATTGGCGCAGGCCAACCCGAAGCCCCCCAAGAGGGGAGAAGCACTGCTTGGCCAGAAACCAGCCCCTTTCAAATAAGGATCCCCGCCCCCTTCCGTGGTACCTGGGTGGAGCAAGTTGCGGTACCCTGCGGTGCGGGTTAATTTAGAACAGAAAACAGTTGTCGATACACGCCGTGCAGTCTTTTAAGGGCACTGTGCGCCTCTGCTAAGACGAGGAGCTCTTTGTTCTCTTTGGTACGTGGCGCATTAATGAAAGTCTTCACGCCGTTGGCGAAAGGTGGGTTATGAAAAGAACGAATTTTAATATGACGGAGAATGTAAATTAGAGAGGTTTTGGTGATTTATTTTTAAATCCATAACATCTTATACCAATAAAGCATCAAGGAAAGTTACTTGGTTACTTCTTAATTGTGTAAACGTTATGGATAGAAAATACGAGTCTAAGATTTGTGGGAATGCTCTGGTTTTGTGATAGCGGTCCTGTTTTTCAAGGGGACAAAAGCAGGTTGTATGAGTAACTGCAGAACCTAGTGTGCTTATCTAGTGGTTCTGATAGGAATGTGGATGACAGTAGAGGCATGTAAGATCTTTATGAAGATACTGGCTTTGGCTTCTTTAAGCCAATTCTGACTGATGGGATCTTGTCTTTGTCATCAGATCCTGGCACCGTGCTTGAGTGCAGTAGATATCTGTGAGAATGCCTTTACATCTTTCCTGGCCTTTGTGCTGGAGCAGCTGAATTCAATATTTTATGTATCTTACTTTTATTATCTACTTTTATGTATACATTCATGTTCCTTTCATGCAGAAGTTTTTATATTTACAGCACCACTGACTGGTGCATTTAACTAGTGTCTGCCTGTAAACGGTAGTTAAACACAGTTCACCAGTGCTCTAATTTGTGTCCAACAACTTCCCATTGCCCCAAATTATGTGTTTTCATCATGGACTATAGCACTGTAAAGCAGTGTCTCATTTCTTAACACAGACACGATGCAACTGGGTTGCAGCATCAAATGTTTACTTGAGGAGGAGGGGATTTGTGAGACTGTATAAGTTAGCTCTTTAGTTTTCAAAATTCATTTATATCCATTCCTTAGACTTAGCTTTATATTAACCTCTGTTTCTTTACTGTCGAAATAGAAATACAGTTACTGAAAAATCAGGATTGTCTCAATGCTTGGGAAGGGAAAATGGATGCTGGGTGGCATCTCTCTCACGATGGTTAACTGACCTTAATCTGCTGGATTCTCCTTTTGTCAGTGGTTTTGCATGTAAGCCCAACACTTCTCCAGTAGCACTTTTACCAGCTTCATGGAATCTTGCATCTTTTTTCAGATGTGTGGGTTCACTTTGCAGTTGATTTATGTTATACTTGTATTATTCTGTTTAACATCATAACACTGGAGAGACTCACCAAGAATGACTGACAAGGGCAGTTGATGTGAACTGGCAGAAATAGAAGCTGGTCTGAGGCAGGGGAAGAATGTTTGAGTGAGGACCAATTTTATGTCTTCTTGTCCTTTCATAAATATTTTTGTGTAATGATTAATTTTGCTTCTCCTAATGATCTCGTTACTTTGGGCATCAGGATAATGAGTACCTGAATGACGTAGATTCCTCTATATGTACCCAGAAGCATTTCTACAAGAATTTGAGAACATCGCGAAATTAGGAAACCTGAATTCTAATCCCTGCTCAACCATGAGTTAGTTTTAAGATTTTTAAATAATATGATTTAGGTCATTTCATCTCTCTGTAACACAGCAGCTAATCCTATACATAGTGGTTAAATGGGGTTCTGCAGAACCACAGCTTCACCTTCTTTAAAGGTTGTATTTATCTTTAGTAAGAGGGGAAGGAAAGAAGAGAGGAAGAGAAACTTCTATGTAAGAGAGAAACATCAATCAGGTGCCTCCTAGATGTGTCCCAACCAGGGACCAAACCCTTAACCCAAGGATATGCCCTGACCAGGAATCGAACCAGTGACCTTTCGCTTTGTGGGACAACACCCAACCAACTGAGCCACATTGGTCAGAGCTCAGCTTCGTTTGTTTGTTTGTTTGTTTGTTTGGCCTCAGCTTGTTATGGAGCCTTTTCCTCCATCACCCTTTCAGTCATTTCTAGCCTTTTGTTTTTAATGAAATATTCGTGTAAAAGGATACAAATCATAAACATGGAGTTTGGTGAATTGTTACAAAGTGACCACACCACCAACAAGAAATAGAACGTGACTAATACACCAGAGGGCCTTCCTTATGTCCTTCTCAGTAACTACCCCTCAAAGGTAACCATTATTCTTCTAGAACCGTAGACTTTTTTTAGCTTTTTTTTAACTTATATAATTGGAATCATACAGTAAATACTCTTGTGTCAGTCGAAGGCGGCGGCCAAGTAGGTGGGAGCCGAGTCTACTTGCTCTTGCACCCAACTTGGACCCTTAGCTGATCTTCCAAAAACATAAAGTGAACAGGCAACAGAATCCTAGTTGATACGAAGTCTGGAAGCCAAAGAGTACAGAGGATGCTTCAAAACAGTTGATAAGGCAGTTTTGTAGGTAGACGGGGAAAGTCCCCTGATTTTCAAAGTCCCCCAAAGCCAAGGCTGTCATGGCACCTACAGCCAGTCACCTGCATCCATGGAGAGCTTGGTCAGGGAGAGCAGCCTAGCAGCTCCCTCTTCTCACAGAGCCTGGAATCGCTAGACGTGGCCAGGAGCAACTTGGATATGCAAAGTCCCCAGAGAGAACCAAGCTACACACACACACAGCTAGCGGCACAGGCTATCTGGGGCAGCAGTGCCATCTGGGAGAGTGCCAGGGAGTGAGAGAGATACTGTCTGCACCTGGATCTGGTGGAGGGGGAAGACCGCACCTGGGATAGACTCTTGACTTTTTGGAGAGGTGGAGTGTGTGGAAAGCCAGGCGAAAGCTTGGTGCTACAGAGGGAGCATCCAGAGAGACTTTTTTAAAAAGGGAGGCTGAGGCATGATGGGCAGGGTCCTGGCCCGTGCATCTTCTGTGCCAGCAAGAAGGAGGACTGTGGGCGCAGTTTGCTCCCACTCAGTACAGATGGGCAGGTTGATCAAAGGGGTGCAAACTGAGGTGGTTTCTTGGCCCCAGCCCTGCGCAGCAGCATACAGTGGAGAGTGCAAGCTGCAATGTGCTATGAGGGCAGTGGGCTGGAAACTGCACCTGAGATTATTTGAGGCCACACTGGGCCCCCATCCTTGGTGGAACCTCCAGGGAGGGAAGGTTTAGCCCAGCCCCCACTTCCTGCAGGAGCAGGGAAAGATCTGCAAAACCAGCTGGGCAGGCTTAACGACATTGCAGGGGTCACTTCTAAAGAATAAGACAGCAAAACTAACACCTAAATGGGCCTATTTTGAATTCCTCACAGGTAGACAAAGTTTTACACCGGGTTGTCGTAGGGCCTTATTTCACTGAAGCCACCAGAGAAGTTCAGGAAGTGTACAGCAAATGGGATTCAGGACGCTGCCCAGCCTCAGCTCGCACACAGAGCTGCCGTCTACATCGAGCAGGAGAGAGCTGACATTCTTACACAAAGAAAGATGCCCCCCCCACCATGAAACAGTTATTTAATCAGAAACTGTACATTATTGGAAATAAACTGGGACAGACTAAGACGGGAGGGGCGGGGGCAGGGGAACGTACCCACGAGTTTCCCAGAAGACTGAGCAGTGCCTCCCAGGGGAGACAGAGAGGCTCCACCACCTCCGTTACAACAGAAGCTCCCTCTAGGAGCAGGCGAAGGACATAGCGGTAGTGCCAGAAGTTGGGCCACCCACCCCTGGACCTTGGGCTGATAAAAAACCAGAGACGCATCCAGAGGGAAGTCGGAAGGTGAACACCAACAACTGAGACTAATTTCACCTTGCTTTTTCCTCAGAACTTGCTTTTTTTTTCTTCTTTTGTTCTTTTCACATAGCCTTTTATTATTTCTTCTTTTGCTTCCCTTGTATTCCAGCTAACTCACTGCTCTTGGTCTGTTATTTTTTATTCTTTTCATTCAGATTATATATATTTTTTCATATTACTGTTAGTTCAAGTCCCACTTAGCACCCTTCCCTGGTCTCAGTCCATTTTGCCTTGTTCCTGACCTTTCTTATTGTTGCTATAACTTTATTTTCTCCCACGCTATGCCATGTTCCTATTCCTTACCCTTACTGTTTTCCCTCCATCTAACCTTGCAAGAGTATTCTACCTTTCTTAAGTCAGCTCACATTCTTTTCGCTCTCTTAAAATAGTCTTATTTGCTTTCCACCTTTATAAACTGGCTAGTTGGGTGAGCGTATGACAGTTATTGCTGTTCTTCAACAGAATTCCCATTTGTTCACTATCTGTTTGTACTTGAAATCCCTCAGGATACTCCTCTCCCTGTCTTACTTCATTTTGCCTTCCCCCTGCCCTTGATCAGTTGAGTCAGGAATTTACTTTAATATCGTTCCCTTTCTTAGCCTGGGTTCAATCCTGCAAAGACAGGCAGGCAAAGCAGAACATCCGGAGGTGCAGACACAAAGAGTCACCAGTAATGAGGAGACAGAGAACCCCCCACGTGAAGAGAATGAAGGAGTGCCCAGGAAAAAATAGCTAAATGGAATTGAGGCAGTCTGTC